GCTTTAATCACCTTTACTACCCTCCCGTCCCCATTTTCCTTCATCCCCTCCTTCTATTTTCATTCACTTTGCTTCCTCAAGGGGCTCTTTGGAAGCCATTAAAATCACTCACACATATAAGTCCAATTTGTATGCAAAGGAAGAAAGAAAGAAACTCATAGAATTTTTTTTATTTTTTCCTTTTTGCAAATTTGGCAGTGAAACATATCGTCATTACTCGCTCTTGTGGCTTTTTTAGCAACCCCGAGCGGACACGTCGGGCCTGAGTAAACGTCTGACGGCGGTTTTTGAAGAGCAGCTGAGCATTTCAAAACCTGCAATCGCGTAGAAACACAGAACTACATGAACGTAGCTCCCGTGCGGTTTATAGAATCAGCACGTTGCCAATCACGCTAACTCTCTCTCCACAATATCAGGCACAAACGCCACAATCAGGTTTCATTTTTTCCCCCCTCCACTCTCCTCCAGTCCACTTGTTCAAAACAAAACCAGTCAGCGCAGACACCCGGCTAATTTATTTCCTTTCCTTTTTTTTTTTCTCATTTTTTTCAGCCGGCATGTTTTTTAATTAAAAGTTCACTTTGAACATGTGATCTCATCCATTTAATTGGTGTAGGGGAGAACATTATTCTCGCTCGCCTTTGGGGAAATACAGTTTCGACAAGGCTGCGTGGAGAATATATATCACTTCGGTTCGGACTTGGGGAAATGGATTTGTGAAATGTGAGTGCGGGTCAGTAGTTTAGTGTTAATTTCTGCAAATCCCACACCGTATCTCACCATTAATCACCCACACACGGCAAATATGCCTCGTGTTGAATCAGGCCGCGCTCTCACCGCGAACATCTTTATGTGTTTATCAACCCCAGATAAGCCCCTTAATGTGTTTGCTCACTGTGTGTGTGTTTTGTGAAAGTATTACATGTTTTAAGTGCCAACAGATGCACGTGGGGAAGCAGGAAAATCAGGCATCTGTCGGCTAATGTGCGCGCAAATGTTTCAGCAGGAATTGTTTTATTTTTCTAGTGTTTATTCTGAGCCGAGCATCCCGAGTTCAGGAGCTTAGATAAGGAATGTTTGCCGAAATGGCCGCGCTGAGAGGAGCAGCTGTTGCGCTCGCATCCGCGGAGACGCACAACGACGCCGTGAAGGCTAACCGTGAAGTAAATACGCGCATGTTTGCTCGCCGAGGTAAACGCCAACGCACGTATGTGACTGTAAACACGTGCACACGGCAGATAAAGAGCGATACACGGAGATAACCGTCCCAGAGTCAGCTGATCCACAGTGGTTTAAATGTTTGCACACACAGAGGAACACACAAAAGGCCACACTGGTGTTTGATAAAACATCAAAAAGCAAACAAACACATCCCCGAGGTATGAATACATGATAAAAAAAAATATAAAAATAAATCAATAAATGCTAACAAAATCACGTTTATTATGTTTAAATCGGAATAAATATTTTTGTTTTATTGATTTTTGTTGTTATTTAGAAGTAAATTATATTTATTAAAGATTAAAAGTTTTAAACTGTTATTTTACAGGTTTTTGCAGCTTTTAAATTATAGAAATAACGAGTAAAACCACACGTCAACTTACATATTCACTGTGAAAGGCCCGCACTGTAAATAATAATTAAAAATGTGTATTTTTTTGGTAAAATATATAATTCACTCTGTTACAGTATTTGACTGTAAAGTATTTATTTACATCAGCAGAAATACCACTTTTTTTTAAAACAGATTTTTGCTGTTATTTTTAAGATAAAATATGTTTAATAAAGAATAAAAATGACGACATAATTCCTTAAACTGTTCAAAAATGTATTTTTAAAAAATCCTAGTTTTATTAAATTACAAATAATATCAGTAAAATCACAAAAAGTATTAATTTACATGTCCACTGTAAGAAAAAATAAAATAAATAAGAAATATGAAAAAATAAATAAATACGAAAAAATAAGAAAATAAATAAAATAAAATATGTATAATAAAGACTAAAAATGACTACATAATTCCTTAAACTATTCGAAAATGTATTTTTAAAAAATCCTAGTTTTATTAAATTACAAATAATATCAGTAAAATCACAAAAAGTATTAATTTAAATGTCCACTGTAAAAATAAATAAAAACAAATTGCAACAAAATGACAGTTTAACTGCATTTGAAGGTAAAAATTAGTTTAAAAATATTATATATATATAATTTCACATCATTAAAATTTACTACTATATCATATATTATGTTTAATGCTTTTTTTGAACATTACAGTCTTCTTCTGTTTTTTCTTCTTCTTCTTCTTTTTTTTCATTTTTTTACAGTGTAGATGTGTTTTCATCACTCCTAACCTACACTTGACTCACACTTTCCAAAATGTCTTCTATGTTTTTATTATTATTATTTTTTATATCCTCACTTGGAAAATTGTCACTTCCCCAAAAAACCCGTTCCAAAAACCTCCCGACGTCTCGTATCGCCGTCGGTTTCCAAACCGTCCTGTAAAGGTGTAAAACTCACAGCAGAGGAGTGAAAACACACACCTGGACCACACACATCTGAACACCCTGCTCCCTGTGGGCTCCTCGTATCGGGGCTCCGTCCCCGGTGCTGCCTCTGAAAGCCATTAGCCTGAAATGGATATTTCACCAGAAAAAGGCAGAAAGAGAGTGACAGCGAGGGAAGCGTGAGAGAGAGAGAAAGAGAAAGAGAGTCATCTTTGGTCATCAGCAATTATCTTTTATGAAAGCTGCCAAACGCGAACTGGGGGATAATTGGCCGCGGCCTCCTTCACAGAAACATACATTTCCCTAATTGCGTATAATTGTGAAGTGAGTTCTTGGCGTGGAGGACGGAGGTAATTGCGGAGGGCCGCTGCTGCGTTTGTCCTGACCGTTAAAGGAGCCCTCAGCCATTCATGAAGCCTCTCGGAGCATAATGGAGGCTCAGGCGAGGGCGCAGACGGACCTCCATCCGAGCGTACAAACACGGCGTACAGGTGTCGCCACATCGTTACTGGTAGTAGGATGCAGACGGAGTCACTCTCGGAGGAATCTATTAACGCCTACCCTCTCATCCCTCTCTTCCCACACACGTATTACTTTTAATTCCTACTTTGCTGCTGAGTCAGCACAAGAAATATGTGCCAGGAAAGAAAAGTTAGCTTTAGAAAAAAAGAAGTGACCATTTGAACAAATGATCCTCCTTTATAACGGATAGTCGGCATTTTTCCTCAGGATTCTTTACAGACCTCTTCTGCTAATGCTTTTATTACCAAAATGGATATAAGCACTCTGGAGATTAAAGCTTTTTAGAGCCGGTGGCAGGTTGTTGAATAGCGGCGATGAACCAGATAAAACACCTCGATGTGTTTCAGGACTACCTGCAGAGTTCTGCAAAAATCAGAACCTCCTGCAACAGCTAGCCGGTGTATGGAGTCAGAACTTTTCTTTATTTATCCGTGTGGTCGGTAAGTCTTTTAAAAACCGCCCCTTCTGTGTTTCCAGCTCCTACCAGCTCGTGGTGAAGGAGGAGCGCAAGTCCAAGACCCGGCGCGCCGCCTCCGAGGCCCCCGAGTGCTTCTCGGCGCCCGTCAGCTTCCGCAACGCCTCCGTCCTGGACTCGCCCTACTACATCGCGGCCGAGCTGCCGCCGTCCAGCCTGACGGTGGTGCAGCCGTTCACGGTGGGCGACAACAAGAGCTACGGCGGCTTCTGGAACCCGCCGCTGTCGCCCGCCAAGAGCTACAGCATCTACTACCAGGCCATGAGCAGAGCCAACGGGGTGAGTCTCGGGTCGGGGAATTAACTTTGCTCATTCAGTTCAGCTTTCATCCTCCTTATTCCAGGAACTAATTCCCCTTTGGTTGCTCGTTTTCCTGGGAATTCTTGTGTACAGTTAGAGCATTTTTTTGACTTCTCGTGCCCCTAAGTTTGGTCAAAACAGATGCCGTGGCACATTTACCAGGTAGATTCACTTGGATTTTACCTGCAAAGAAAACCTCCTGCTGTCAGACACAAAGTAGTCGCAGCGACCCCTTGGAACCCAGAACTTAATAGCGGGTTTGAAAGGTAGGTTATCGCCAGAATGATGCCCTTTTTCTAAGCCAGAAACTGTCAAAAACAGAAAGAATCGTCACATTTCGAGCTTTCTGACAGTCTTTGAACTGCTCATCTGTGACCCGGTGCTCCGTCGACAATATGATTGATCCACATCAGAGCTTTAAACTCACTTAATTCTACAAGAAAAATATATTGCACCAACCAGATTCTGCAAATTCTGCCCTCGTCTGCACAACCAGTAACCCTCCAGTTATGTAGCCGTGACCAATAGACCAATAGTAAGCTTTTCAGCTTAACTTGGCTGAACTGCAGGCTGTGTATCCAAAGATCTCCAGTGTGTTTATTTTTATTCCAGTTCTGGTAACACTTGTGGACACTTGGAGAAATATTCCAGATCTTTATTCCACATGTTTTCATTTTTTTGGAAACGAATTCAACTTCCTTATTTTTCATGATTTATGTGATTCTAACTGTGCAAATACTGCCCTCCCCAGTTCTCTCTACCTCTAGACGGGGTTGTTCTGTTTCCACAGAGGTGCAGGACTTTGTGTTGCAGTGAAAAACGAGCCCACAGTGAGAGAAAAACGTGACCTAAAAACACCAGAAACAGCTTTGAGTTCAGAGGATTTAAACACATTCGCTGGCAAAACAGAAAATTAAACCAACAGGTGACACAAAAACAACACAATCAAAGCAGAGTCTTAATCACTTGACTCAAAACTAACCATCAACTAACTACAAAGGACAGACGGGCCATTTATTTAACACCTTTAAGGAAAGTTATTCTCGTAGTTTAATAGTCGACTTGCTTGAGTTCCTTGAAGACGTTCCACCTCTCATCCAAGAGGCTTCATCAGCTCTGACTGACTGGTCGGGAGTTCCAGATACTTCTATCCTTAAGGAGCCAACAAACCCACAATTGAAACCGAAACTCAGGTGTTAATGGCTCCTAAAGACAGCCTCTTGGACGAGAGGTGAAACGTCTTCAAGCAAGTCCAGTTGCAACGATTAAACTCCGAGAACAACCACGACCTGGATGACTGAGAATCTTCACAGACGTTTAAGGAAAGTTAGCTGCTTCTTTTTCTACATCTGTCTACTTCAGGGGTGTCCAATTCTGGTCCTCGAGGGCCGCAATCCTGCAAGTTTTAGATGTTTCCCTCTTCCAACACACCTGATTCAAATGATCAGGATCGTTATCAGGCTTCTGCAGAGCTTGTTGATGAGCTGAATCAGGTGTGTTGGAAGAGGGAAACATCTAAAACATGCAGGTTTGCGGCCCTCCAGGACCACAGTTTGACACCTCTGGTCTAGTTTAAAACTTGTGGCCACGCCCTGATGAGTGGTGTCCAACCATCAGACTGAACGCGACACGGAGTCGCAGTAAAAGCAGCACAGATTCAGTCTGAATGACCTCCTCAAGGCCCCGGTCGGCTGAATTAAACGCTACACGTTGCTTTAAGAGTGAAAATAAATAACTAACGGAGAGGAGAAGTCTCGGCGGGGATCCTCGCTCCCAGGATCCATCCGCATGGTGTCTGCTTGTTGCCCCCTTTTTGTCGGGTAATTATACCATCTGCGGATACAACAACACCCCGCCCGCCTCCACCCTCCCCCCCAGCCGGCCGTCGCCTTCTCATAACTCATTCACAACTTGAGCTCCAGCTCGCTCTGAAATTTCCATAATACTCCGAACTCCTGCGAGGGTTGTTTTTAATTTTCCACCGCCGTAACCACGGTAACTCGGCCTGGAGAGCGAGGACGGGCGAGCTGGCTCGTCTCTCGTGATGTAATATCCTCCTCCAGACGGCAGGTTTACCCACAATGCACCGCGGACACACACACACACAGAGAGCTGCAAGTGGGTGTGAGTGGGGATCCTTTGCATGATTGAACAACTGTGACTGCGAGCGGATGAGTGTGCGTTCAAAAGTGTGAGCGCTTGTGCGAGCCACTCCTGTGTGTGTGTGTGTGTGTGTGTGTGTGTGTGCATGCGTGCTTTGTATATGTGCAGATCCTAAATCCGGTCACATCAGAATTCCTCATTTGATTGGATCTCCAGTCAATCCAATCAGCGGGAGCTTTGTTTGGGTCGTGGATTGGACCGTCGTGGGGGCACCTATGGGGGGGATTTGGTGGTAAACAGAAAAGCAAGCGGACCACGACCCGGATGATTTGAGGAGGAATCAGGGCATAAAAAAAACGGACATAAAACTCAGGATTTTTTTTCCACTAAATGTTGTTTTTTCCTCCATTTTTCTGTTTAGAATTCCCAGAACTGCTGAATACTTTCATTTTCTTTTATGGGAATGAAACTGCCGCAATCTCGTAATTAGTTTTTATTATGTAATACTTGAAATATATAGATGTTTTAGCAGTAGTGATGTGGAAAACTAGAAAAATGCACAGCTGTAGTATATGCTAAGGCTATCAGGGAGGTGCTCTTGGTCCGGTTAAAGTCAGATCCAAGTCGTGGCTCAAAGATTTAAATATACAATCTATATTTCCTTTGCTAAAGTCGTCCTTCCAACACAAACCTCCTCCATCTGCAGCTTTTGATCCAATGAAGAAGAAGAAAGTTCTACAAGAAAGATGTAGAACTTTAACCTAAACGTACATTTTTGTGCATTTTGTGAAGTGAAAGACGGATTTATTTCTTACTTAACCTCTGAGTTTAACCCAGATTGTGACCATGAGAGAAGACAGCTGATCTCACAGCTTCCATTATCAAATAGAAAGTGAAGTTTGGCGCCTTTATAGACGTGTTTATACGCTTAGGTTAACTCGCCGGTTGCTACAATTGCACCAATAAGGTCAAAAGAGCATTTTTTAATAATTCAACAACACCTTCAGTTCCCTCTCTTTGCTCTGAACATGTGATCTTGAGGGAAAACTACAGACGGATTGCAGAATGTTACTGACTTCATTTCCTCGAGCCGCTGTGCAGGAATCATGCACGGACAGCAGCGTTACTCCATGCAAACATCATAAAGTGATCCACGAGGTTAGAGTCATAACCGTACACGTGCACAGGTGTGTCCAGACATTTAGTTTAAAGTGATGAGACACGCCGAGCTGTTTGTCTGTCTGACATGACACCAGACCCGACAGCTCAGTCTCCCTAAAATGATGCTCCT